GGTACGGGCATGGGTGTTGATTCTATCCAATACCATAACTGATTGTCTATGAAAAGGCTTTAAAGCATGGCACAAGAAGCAAAGCGTTCTCCAGGTCTTTTCCATACTCGGTCCCGGTCATCTGATTGCCACACAAAACCGGTCATCTCTGAAGAGAACAGCCCACTGATTGCCATAAACCAAATGGACACTCATCTCATTATTCAAGTATCCAAGCGATATGCTGATTTGCGAATAGTCTGCTTCTCCAGTAGTAGAGAACCTCATGCAGGATGTCTTGAGACTAGGGTATTCTCACGAAGCCTTCTGATTACTTTTTAATGCTTATCCTTACATTTCGGTCCATTTGGAGTTGACCACCTATCCAGGAAACTGTTAAATGGCAGTCCATAGTGCGGTAAGGGCATTAAAACGATCGTCTCTGTCCATCGTACATCCGGTCGACCATTACCTTCGATCGATACTTCCGGTACCCCTAAACCTGGTGGATGGTAGGACACGGCACGCAGAACTTAGGCAATGTAACGCGTCCTTCGTTCGCCACGGTATCTCAAATTTATTGTTTTACCAAAGAAAATACTTTAAAAACCCAATTAATTCATTCGACAAGTTGCCTATAGAAAAAATGAAATTGAACTGATTTTCTTTATTTTTAATCTAAAGATTGTAAAAGGATTACTAAAACTTTATAAAAGTAAACAACGAATTAATACTGTGTTTACGTTTTAAGTCTACCATTACTCTTTGTACCTAATTTTTATGAAAAATAAACAAATAAATACAAGTTCCAGTTTGTTTTTTCTTTGAGTGCATATTCAATTTGAAAAATGTTAAGATTTAAAAATTAAATAAATTGGACTATTCTGCATTGTTTAATCTATACAATTATCCATTTAATACCCAATAAACGTTACCGATGCTTGTACAATTTTAAGAAAAAATATTCATATATACGGTTTGGTTATCATTGTATTGGAAAGTAAAATGATAATAAATTAAAAAAAATTAAGATTTTCATAAACCAGTAGGTTTATAAGTACATTTGTTGCTAGCCCAGCACAATTTTACGTGAAAAACATTTTTCCTATTATTTTCCCATTATTATTTTTTTGTTATATAAATAATGCAGTTGTTTAATTATCAGCTAGGCGAAATTTCCTAGTTCTGTAGACCCACTTGTTTTTTAATGGTGAATCACAATGGTGACTTCCAGAACACCTTGGAATTTGTGAACTGTTACGGTATCGTGCTCCTACTCACGTAGCGCCATCAAAACACAAATTGTTCAAAATATTTTAAACAGCTTGCTACTTTATTTTCATTAATTTTACAAGGCTTTTGGACGTTCTTGAATTAGCAAGAATTTTTTGCACTTCTTCCAAATTGTTCTTTTGAAATTGACTTTTTTTAAAATTTAATAAATATACAACATAGTTCAAATTTAACAAAGTATTGTTTTTATTATAATTTCAATGAAATTTTATTTATTTATTAAAAGAAAATAATATTTTCAAACAAAAACACAATAACATACAAAAATCATCATCCATATTCAAAAACGTAAACAATAGTATAATTATAATTAATAATTTGTGTTGTTGTTTGATTTCTGGCGTTAAAATTCCAATTATCTCTGGTTTCAGTATTACATGGAGTTTATCCAGCCAAACTCGTAGAAGTATCAAAGTAGTAAGTTCCTTAATTTGTTTCAGCATGTATTTACATACAGCGGGTCTAACAATTATTTATACACTTGGATTTTTGAAATTTTCTCCTTTAATTTTATTTGGCATCTAAAACCATAAACTGGACTATTCAACAATTCATTTCATGTAATTATTTGTTAATAAATAATTATGTGTTATGTTAATATACAAAAAATAACATTTTTGGACGCCAAAACAGTTATTCCTTTCCTTAAAAAAACTACGACATTTTTTTGACATTTAAAAAATATTTTTATGGGCGAACGTTTTGCGTTTATTATGGATTGTAACCTTCTTGGCAAGCATTCTATGAGGTTTAATGTCACTTGAGGTGTGCCTTTTTTAAATTTCTTATAAGTTCACTCCTTGAAGAACATTTAAATTTTCGGATTTCACTCTCCTTCGTGGTCATGGGTTTATGTCAGGTGATTGTGGAGGTAAAATAAAACGTTGCGGACGTAGTAATTAAGCCATTCTTTGCTTATTCTGTCTGTATGTTTGGGGTCGTTGACTCGGACAAGGTGTTTAGGGATCCCAACTTTTTTAAAAATTATAACGGACTATGTCCACATACTGTTTAGCACTCAAAATATATTCGGTGACTACTAAGTACTAATTCGCAGACTCCTCTAGCTACTATACAACCCCACACCCTCACGCTGCCTCCTCCATGCTTCCCAGTCGGAGTTATATTTTAAGCATCTAATAATCAATTCGATCTCCTTTAAAGTTTAAACGAAAACGCACCCATCAGATCCAAATCTGTTAAACGTACATTAATCTGAGATGATATTTTTCTACAAGTCCAGGGACTTATTGACGTGCTCTCCAGCAAAATTGAGCCTTTTATCCTGTTTTTATGTATAATTTTTTTTAACCGTTTTGCCTTTGTATCTGCTTCATGAAGGGGATTATCATCTGTCCTAAAACTCCTGAAAGATGAAACAATGCCTTCTGCTAGTTCATGTGCACTAATCGGATTTTTTGAAGTTTGTCTATTCAATTCACGCGCTGGATTCGTCAAAACTTCCCTTTGTTTCCTGTGCTTTCTTCCCTAACCCCTAGTTGAGTCCCAGTGCGTACTAAGCTTAAGTTCACCACAAGAACCAATCTTGAACTTTTTTCTATCGGATACTGGAATAAGAATATTTGTTTTCCTATTTGGCTATAAGTTAAACGTTGTTAAAATAAAGAGACAATTTTTATCTTTTTAACGAAACATAATAATTCTGCTGATTATGGCCGATTCTCCATCGAAAATTCTCCGCAGATTCTCGATCGAATAAAACAAATGATAAAATAACAATTGAAAATATTTTGTTCATTTGAAATTTAGCCTTATTTCGTAACATAACAATACTAAAAATGCAGTTTTTTCTTCATCTATAGGCGTAAGAATAATTTTTTTAATGTTCAAAAATATCCATTTTTGTATCTTAATGTAATGCCTAATTATTTTTCAACAAATAATTATATGAAACATGTTGTTGAATCATCTAGTTTATGGCCCAAAGAAGGTTTAAGTTACAAAATAAAATTAAAGAAGAAAAAGGCAAAACACTAAGTGTATGAATAATTTTTTGACCCACTGCATATAATTTTACACGTTTTGGGAAGTAACAGGAAAATTTTATTAAATTAGACTAAGAAATAATTTTATTATTTTGTCTTTCCTTATTTGTTAACAATATATTGTACCAAAAACTGCATTTTTTAAATTCATATTTGAGAAATTTTCTGAAGAAGGGAAAATATTACATCCCGAAGCCTGTAAAATTATATAAATACATGCTTTAACAAATGTAAGTTACTTCATTATTATTTTTACAAATAAACTCCATATAATATTGAGAGAGATAATTATAGTACTTTCCCAACTGTTTCAATGAAGAAAAAGTGAGAAAGATTGCCTGTAAAAATAATTTAATAGTGAGCAAGATTAATTAAATTAGTGAGTAATTTTTTTATAATAACTTTATTCAACATGCTCCATTTAAAATATTACATGTTATAAATACATGTAAGTTGTTATTTTAATATTATTTACTTTTAGAAATATATTTATGGAGAATCAGGACTTTTTCTTTCTTCTTCTTTGTCCATAAATGTGAAGTTTGAAGCATAGCAGTTTAATGTTTTTCTTTTGGACATAGACAATCCAAGAATTTTCTAACCAATTTTGGTAGGAAAGGAATCACAGAATGTATCAAAGGAAGCATGGACAGAATACAAAACCTAACAGGACACTGCAGATTAAATGGACACTTAAAGAAGATTGGAATAATCCAAGATGGCACATGCAGATTCTGCAAGGAGGCAGAAAAGACACCAACACATTTACTAACAAACCGTGGAGCTACTAGCTCGCAGGAGGAAATGTTTTGGGATGTATAATGTGACCATAGAAGAGCTTCAACCACTGAAAGCGGGCCTATTAATCAAGTTTCTTGATGAAATAGGACTCACCGATGTGCTTTAGGCAGAGCACGGGGGATACAATAGCTCTTAAAGGGCGCAGTATGCCATACCCTGAAATTACATCTACATCTACAATGTTTTTCTTCTACTCTGGATTCAAAAGTTGTTCCCTGATCAAGGACCAAGCAAAACCTTTTATCATTATACTTTTGACCAGTACGCTCCTGACAGACATTATCTGTTGACAGTCAACGACCATGTATCATGGGTGATAAAATTAAATCCCTTCAAATAGGCAGCGAACTTGCCTTGTTGTGTGTGTGTTCTTGTCTGATAAAAAGAACAGCTTTATGTAAAAAAATTATATAAAATTAAAGAAAGTTTCTAAATGTAAAATATCTTTAAGGTATGTAGATGTAAATAAATAAATATATTTTGTCAATTATTTCTGGTATAAAGTTAAAGTTAAAATCTAATGTCCCATTTAAAAACTAATCCCAATTGATGATCCATTTTTATGAGCATTGAGTATGTATATTATATTAAAACTTAAATTGTTTTCAACAGAAACTCAAAAAACAGCTTAGAACAAGTTAAAAAACAAATATACATATACAAAAATTGTATTAATATTATTTGTTAATTTTTCACAAAATTTCAAACTTTATTGGAATTAATTATTAAATGAGTTTTAATTAAATCCAATTTGAAGCCTTATTGCACATTTATTTGATTTGTTTATTTAAATATCAATGAATAACATAAATTAATATAAAGCAAATTAATTGAAAGCAAGTTAAAGATCTTTTAGTCTTGGCATTCGGAACGGTTGCGCTACAAGCACGTTGTACCAACGATTGAGTGCCAAGCCTTTCATCGTTGTAACAGCAACTGCGCTTATACATCAACCTCGTGGTTTCTGTTTTCAAGAGGTTCTTTTGAGAAGTAGGAGGATTTAAAAAAAATCCATTTTATTTAAATCAGTGCACGTCATAGATATTTTCAATAAATTCTGGAGAGTCGCTGAAATGGCTGGAAAGAGCAAAGTGAGTATGAATTTACTTGATATATTTTGAATAAATTTCCTCAAAACTAATGGAATAAGTACTCAAAGAAAGTAAGGAACTTGGGTTTAATTCAACAATACAAGGCTTGTACAAGCAGTCGTTAAATAATCTGATGATGGATTGTAAATAAATTAATTTACACCGAATAATGACACAAATATATGGATGCCAAATAAAACCTTGAAATGGGCATGACAAACATTAAAATATATTTTATTATTTCTTATTAGGTTCTTCATGTACAAATTTTAACAGGGGTTTCAAACCATTTGTGTAAAGCTTGAGAAAGAAGTCATGATGATGTATATAGTAGACAATCGAAACACCAATTTTGCACAAAATTATCCGAAATCGTGAGATGCGGTCTGGTCACCAGAATAATTATCGATTAACGGTCACTAATCACCACACATTTACACAAAATTTTCTTTTGTCTGCCAAGATCTTAGTTCTCACTTTGAGACCTGACTGTCCATGAACTATTTGACTTGGTAAATTGGAAAACAACATGAAAAACATGTCTGGGACTCTCAACACGACACCCAATAATGACACATCTACACAGAAAACAAACACTTTGAGCCGTGAAGATGATCTTAATAAAGATCAAAACATTGGCACAATAAAGAAAATGTTTTTCTAAAGCCTACGTCACACAGTCGCATCTCACAATCTCCAAATAATCTTGAAAAACATCGTATAGTTCGATTCCTGGATGGTCTAGCGCTTTGAGTAGTGATTGATTGTACTGTATAATTAATAATAACAATGAATTGCTTGTTAATATTTCTATGTACTAGATTTTTGCATCTGCCAGTTATAAATTTTAACCATTGAAAGCCAGGAAAGAAAAACATCAAGGATGATTTATTAATATAGTATACTTTGTAATTATATTAAATTTCATAATTAATTTACTTTTACAATTAATTATCAGGCTAATTATTTATTAAGTGAAAAAGCTGGGCTTTGAATTTGGTATTTATTTCAATTAATTATTCTTTTTTTGTAAGGTCTTGGTTGAGATGAAAAAGATAGTGTTATTAGCAGGATTCGAACCCATGACCTGTGGCTTCATGGGTTCTATTCCCTGAATGGTCTCGTGCTTTTGTGTAGTGATTGATTGTACTGTAAAATTAATAATAACAATGAATTGCTTGCTAAAATTTCTAAGTACTAGATTTTTGCATCTGCCAGTTATAAATTTTCACCATTGAAAACTAGAGATGAAAAACATCAAGGATGATTGATTAATACAGTATACTTCATAATTACTTAATATTATGCTAATTATTTATTAAATGAAGAAAATTGAGACTTTAAATTTGATATTTATTTCAATTAATTATTCTTTTTATCTAAGGCCTTAGTTGAAATGAAAAAGGCTTTGTAGGTTCGAATCCCACTCGTGACACTAACTTTTTCATCTCAACAGACCTTATATAAAAAGAATTATTAATTGAAATAAGTAATTTGGCCAATTAGACAATTAAATAAAAATGGATTAATATTTGATATTTATTAAATCCATTACAGTTAATTAATATTTATGAAAGGTATTGGTTGAGATAAAAAAGTCAGTGTCACGAGCGGGATCCGAACCCACGAGCTTTGGCTAAATACGCCGCTTCTTTACCACTTGAGCTATCGTGACTTTGATTTTTGATATTTATGTTGAAACTTGTTCACTTGTTTTCTGTGTTTCATGCTATTCTGATATTTCACACAGTTATTTAAAATACATTGGAATCTCACTAGTATGAAATAATAATGACTGAGAGCTGTTTGGATTAATTAAATAACTGTATGCGCAATGCAGAGGGAAGCGACAAAACATTATTAAGGAATTTAAATATAGATGCATAACCTGAAAGTTGTGATGGCCTGAAAGCGTAGTTTGGAGGTTTTTAGCCATTTTGGTCTGGCTATCCAGAATCCAAGACCAAGTTCTGGTCTGTGAGGTGCATTTCGTCTTCTCATCTTCAGGTTTTAGTAATAATATAGAGTGAAATTTTCCACTGTGGATGGCAGGAATGTGAAATGCATCTAACAGACCAAAATGTTTGAAAACAACCAAACTATTTGCTTTTCAGTATTGATTTTCACACTCATTAATCCATCATTCATTATCATTTCATTATTATCAAATTATTCATTATCAGTTCATTCCAATCAATCACATTTAATTACTCACTTATTCACTCAAATCCCTCCCAACTCACTTAAATTCTATTCCATATTTTATTTGAGTATTTACAAAAGTAAAATTTTATGTATTATTATTAATTGTTGTTTATTGTTATTATTTTCAATATTATTATAAATAGTGTTGGTAATAGGAAACTCTTGTACAGATGCATTTTATTTTTGTAGAAAGATGACTTACATCAGTCTAAAGATAGCGATGAAAGTTCAGATGATTCCAACAATATGAGCTTTGATGAGAGCGAAGGTGAAGAGGATGCTGAGGATGTTGACGTTGATGAGCAGCAAGTGGCTAGCAAGAAACGAAAACTTGAGGTCACAATACAGTTTTTATTTTTTGCTGTTTCAAATTTTCAGTATTATTTCATGTGTAAGTTGTAATACAGGAGGATAAAACAACGACTAAAACTTCTAAAAAGCAGAAGATGAATGTCAAACCGCCGACGGCAGAAGAATTGATACATCTTCGTGAAACAGAAAATCTTTTCCAATCGAATCTCTTCCGTTTGCAAATAGAGGAAATGATCAAAGAAGTGCGACCGAGGAAATCAGAAAGAAATTCTCTCAGGAATTGGTTAAACCAATTAACTGCAGAATTGACTGGGACTGATGTGCGATATGAGAAACCGGTATGTTATTTGTTTTTGTGGAAATTAAATATTTTATATATTTAGTTTTTAAAATTAAAGTAATTTTTCAGTTAAGTGATGTAAGCTGGTTGAAAGAACTTGGAATTACATTTCCAATCCCACTCACAAAAAACTATAAAAAGAAAGTAATTTTTAAGTTTTTGAAACCTGTGAAAGTTTTAACAGTAGGATCTTTCGTTAATGGTACTCTTCTTGGGCCAAGTTTTTCCATTGATCTAGCCATTGTAATGCCAAAGGTCAGTTAATAAGTTTATTAATTTGCAATAGGAAGTTCCTAATAGAAATTATAAATTTATAGAAATGTTTTGAAAAAGAAGATCACCTGGACATGCGATATTTGATAAAGCGAGCCATGTATTTATGCGTCATCTCTTCAATTATTTCGAAGAGTGTTTCATTGAGCGATGAAAAAGTTAAGTTTTGGACGAAGACGGGCGACCCTCTAAAACCTGTACTCGTCTGTAAAGCTCCAGGGAAAGGTTCTGTTGAAATTCTTTTGACTGCGATTCCTGAAGAAGGGACTTTTAAAACTTCAAAATTTGTACTCGATAAAAACAATATTCGACCAGATGTATCAGATCATTTAGGTAAGGGAACAAAGTCTAGCACAACTAAATTTTTTTATATATGTATATTTTTCTATGAGGTTATATGAACCCTCATGGGGTTGGTGTTTTTGAAAAAAAGACCATTTGTAAGTATGTTGGGTTTGAATGCAGCTGGATTCGAACCCAGGACCTTTACTTTACAGTGTTGAACGCCGTGTCAACGCCTAAACCATTGTGGCCATGGTCTGATTAAGATTAGTAGGAGCTGGTCTTTTTTTTACAACCTACACACCATGACCATTATTGTGCATGGCCAGGTTTGATAAAAAACTTAATATTTTTTAATTTTATTTTAGCCCCAAGTCAACTACCAGACACACCGTATTATAATTCTCAACTACTCGAAGATGTGGTATTAGAAGAAAATGAAAAGTTGAAAATAAGTTCTCTACAAAACAATCAAAATGCTAGAGATGCTATTGTACTTCTAGGCGTTTGGCTTAAACAAAGAGGAATGACACAAGTAAACTTTTTTCTGGAAAATCATTCCTTTCACTTCTTAATTAAAAAAACCTATATTAATTATTATAAATATATTTTTAAGGGATACGGGGCAGTTAATATGCATTTGATTAGCATGCTGATGGTCCATCTTCTTCAAAACCAAGTAATCAACTATAACATGAGTAGTTATCAGATTATTCGACATGTTTGGCTTTTTATCTGTGAGGATTTTTCTCAAATTGGAAAGTTTGTTGAGTTGTTTATAAATTTTTTAAATGTTCAGCGCAAGGTGATTGGACTGAAAAAGGCCCCTCCCTAATGAAAGGATCGTCTAGTGAAGTGCCCAATCATTTCAAATTTCATTCCATCTTTCCTGTCGTTTTTATTGATTCTACTGGTTATTTTAATTTCACCTTTAGGATGAATAAACTAACTTATTTAAAGGTTGGTTTGATCGAATTATTTATATTGTTTAAAAATGATTTATTATTTGTATTAATTTATTAAATTGTCTTCAGTTTAGATCAGAATCTCAATTGGCCGTTAAATACTTGAATGATTCGCAAATTAACAGTTTTAAGACACTTTTTATGAACAAGATGAATTTCATTGAACAATATGACCACATTTTAAGGTTTGCAAAACTTAGATAATAAAGTTGGCAAAATTTGACGTTGGTTTGAATTTCAGCTTTACAAATCCAGATGTTATAAACAAAACTGTATTCAAAAAGACCTCTGGAGCTCGTCAGTTGGATTATTCTTGTCATACTTTGCCTTTATTTTTGGATCTCCTGACTAATTTATTTCTAAAGGGACTTAAAGACAGAGTTAAGACCGTTGGGATCAACCTTCTATCTACGCCAAAATGGGGCATGACTGAAAAGAGCCCGGCATTTCTAATAAAAGACGTTTTGATGCTGGGCTTTCAGTTGAATTCAGAAACATCATTGGCCATTATCGAAAGGGGCCCCGACGCTTCGACACCAGAGGTACGAAATAGATAAACATCTTAATGTTGGAATGTATAAACGCTTATATTATTGCAGTCGAAGGAATTCAGGGCTTTCTGGGGCAACAAATGCGAACTAAGACGATTTAGAGATAGCGAAGTATGTGAAGCCGTTGTTTGGGGTAAAACAGGCGACCCTTTAAGAGAGAGAAGGCTTATTTTGCAAAAAATCATAACATACCTATTAGAAGAGAAACTTGGCATCACAGCGGAAAATTTTACCTACATAGCCGACCAACTCAGCCCCATTATTCAAAATAAATCTGTAAGTAGTTCTAATTTAGAATACTTGTCTCTTTAAAAAAAAACAAAAAAAAAACAAACAAACATATTATAGATGCCAACATCGACGAATGAAGAGTCTTCGCAGGCTGTACATAAAGTTTATGAAAGCCTGGCTCAGCAACTAAGAGAGCTTACAGGGCTTCCTTTAAACATTACCAGTGTGCACTGTATATCTCCTGTATTTAGGTTTACAGACATCTTTCCACCGCTACCTGCTAAAGTTGTATTTGTCAAGAAACATGTGTTACAACCTGACATCAATGTTTTACTTTCAGACAGTTGTGAAAAATGCCCTTCTTATGTGGCTCCAATTGAAGGTTCTCGATTGTATTATAAAAAAATAATAATACCATTTAAAAGCTTTGAATGAATATTTTCAGTTGTAATACAAATGGCGCTTACTCAGAAATGGCCCAATAATGTCAACGCTGGTAAAAGGTTGATAGCTGCTTTTTATATAGCCATAGCTGCTGAATTGCGAAAGCGGTATGATCTTGATTGCCAAATCACAACAGATTTTGTTCAAGTATTAAAGGTAAATATAAAATTAGTTTATTTATTTATTTTTTACAAGGACTTCAATCACTATTTTAGGCCATATTTTCAAATTTGTTTTTATTTAAAAGCTAACATATAAGTATATATTTTTTTTAAAATCATAAACTTGAGAAAATTATGTAATTTTGATCATAATGCCATTAAAACTGAAGCATTAAGTCTGATCTGATATTTCATACAACTCATTAATTAATTAGGGTTGTGCACGTGCTGGTCGGTAGCAATAAAAATAAAATAAAATAAAATAATACAAAATAAAATACTCACTTGGTAACTGTGGCTTGATTTTCTTGACAACCGGAGAGGAGAGCCGTTTAATAGCTAGAACCTGCAATAACTCTGGCCAAAGGTAAAACAGAATCTTAGTCTATTAATTACCTTCGGGGCTATTAATTACCGTCTGAACCCTGTATGATGTGTCGCATTAAGGATTCGGGAGGAGACACTCGCGTTATTTTGAACGCGATAATTAACAAAACGAAAAAAAAGATTCTTGAAAATAAGAGAAAAACAGAAAGAAAACTAAAAGAAAATCACTCTTGGAGGCTAATTAATAGTGGACTGTATGGAAGCGAGGCGGACTAGAGCAGGACTAGGCAGCAACAGGACAGGATTGTGGGGAGGGAACAGAGGTAGGATAAATTCTAGATTAGCGGCATTTCGGAAACAAAATAAACAATTATAATTCGCGATTTTTGGTGTGAACAAGGGTTTTTAATTAAAAAAAATTTTTTTTTGAAATATACACAGTTTAAAGTCTAGTACATCTTACAAAACTTATTAACTACACAATATTTGTTCAAATTTTAAATAAAATTAAAAGGAGGATCCAAACCCAGCACTGTCATGACAAATATGAGAATGGGTTTCCATAACAATCTCGGTCATTTTATTAAAAATTATTATTTTGATATGATTATTGTAAAGAAAATTGCAATTATATTGAACCCTTTGACATGAGTTTTACAATCCCTGCTTTTACGGTGTAACAGGTTTCGGTCCAACCACAGTCATGGAGTGCCCACTTTATTACCAGAAATCCTGTTGTATCCTGACCAATTTTACGAAGTCCTCTTACTTTTAGTGCAGTTATGCGCATGTGTTTTTGGCTCTGGCAATGCAGTATTGCTTTATATTATTTCAATCTTAATCCAGCATTTTTTAAATCTAGAAGAGGTTACATTGGTGAATCTGGTATTATATTTTGGTGAAAAACCTGTATTGTGAATAGGCTTCCAAAACTTTATAACAAAATCTGAAAAATTCATTTGAAACTTACACAACTGACGATATCAATTTCTGACATTGTTTCACAAATCAAAACACAGCATTTTGTACCATTTAAAAGGCTTTTGAATAATTGGTTTTGTTAAATATCTGTTATTTATGTTTTTCTTAAAAATTGGTCAAAGAATTATAAAATTTAACACATATCTAACTTGAGAATTGCTTGATTTCCAGGAAGGGTTTGTATTTCGTTTGTATTTGGGGTATGGTAAAGAAATAGCTCTTTTGAAAGAAAAGATAACCAGCCAAGGAGTAAAGCAGTACAGGGATACGAAAGAGTCCATAATGTTGGAAAAGAAGTTCATAAATCTGCCCAAACTTACTGGTGCACTTTATGGGTAGGTGCACTTATTGGTGTTCCTTTTTTTGTGCCAAAAGATAAGCTCGTTTTTTAAAATATTTTTTATCAATAGTCTGAGCCAAGTTAATTCTGGGTTTGGCGGAGCTGCCTGCTTGGCAAAACGCTGGATAGCTTCACAACTGCTCGATGATGACCATTTTCCTGAGATTGTCATCGAACTTTTGGTCGCTTACCTTTTTACTTCACCCCAGCCCTTTTCAGCAGCTGTACAACCACTTCCAGCATTTTTACGTTTTTTGAATTTATTAGCAACTACCAACTGGAACATTGAGCCAATTATAATAAATTTTAATAACCTCTTAGATAGTAAGTTGTGCTTTCTTTAACTATATCTTAAATTAGAATATCATTAATATTTTTTTAATGCTTTTAAGGAGAGAAATGTATTGAAATTGAACAACTTTTTAACACACAACGTGAAACTTTGCCTCCTTTGTTTATCGCGACTCCTTATGATAAAACAGGCTGCCTTTGGACTAGAGACGCTCCAACCTTGCCGACGTTAGTTCGGTTAGCAAAACTGGCTTCAACGACTTATAAAATTTTGGAAATCAGACTTAGTTCTTTTCAGCCGAGTAAAAAATTGAGAGTGCGTAAGATTGCAAATACAGCACTTTTTTTTTTTTAAATAATCATAATTTTATTACAGAGTGTGTTTTTTCCTCCGATGAATGCGTATAATGTTATAATTAATTTAAATACAAAAATGTTATCTCGGATACAACAGAGTATTTCATGGGAGGCGTCCAAGAAAGCGATTATTAATAAAATAGTTGTAAATAAAACACCAATTACTGATTTCAATCCTGCTCAACTTTATTTGAGTGATTTAAGGGTAAGCACAATGATATTTTTAAATGTCGTTTAGGTATATACAAAGTGATTATTTATTTTCTAGAATAACTACGGAGATTTTGCCCTCTTCTTCTATGATATTTACGGTGGTAAAGAAATCGGTGTAATATTTAAACCACAGTTTTTAAAAACAGTAGAATTTAAGGTGAGCATGATAAATATTTAATGATTTAATTTTACTTTTTAAAATCTTGTCTTATATTTTAGACATCTCATATAGCTGGGAGGAAGCCGATTGAAACAGAAGGTAAAATCCTTCTTGTACCTGATAAAGAAGCTTTAATTGAAGGTTTTAAAATACTGGGAAGTGGTATTGTAAATAGTGTCACTGTGCACAGTTAAATTATAAATTATGTGTAATGTAATGTTCAAACAAAAATGATTTATGAATGTTATTACTATAAATTCATTTTATTTAGACTGTAAATATACATTTCTTCAATGTAAATATAATTTCAAGTTTTAATAAATAATCTGAACACCTTTTCTTGTATCTGTTCATGTACTTTTTTAACAAGGCTGAGGGCAAATATACAGCTGTTTTCTTTTTTTACCACTGCAACGTATGTTTGGTCATTTCGGCTGTCTAAGGTGGATCTTACGTAAAATAGCTCTCTGTTACTTAATAATGTAAATGATTTTTTGAAATTTTATTATGATTTTCTAAGCAATATAAATTGTATGATGCAACAGTTGTGTCCCCAGCCATGCTAAGAAAATGAAGTAGGCAACCTGCTGAATGTTCAATTTGGGTGTATAGTTGGACAAATGTCATTTCTATTTTCTACAATATTCTCCTTTTATTTTACGTAATCATACAAAATGGGTTAATAATTAATTAAATAAAACAATCAATTCTAGTTAACAAGTTTGAAACGACCGTAGCGACACTTTTGCCTTTTCTGAGGTGGCCCTAGGAATTTTGAATGGAATTGTTTAGTGGGTGACGTGGAAGTAGGGTTTAAAATGTATAAACAGGAGGACGCATACATGCTCAACCAAAAGGACAGTTGGCACGATGCACATGTTGCTGTTGTTGAAGATGTGTTATCAGAAGAGGTTGTTCCTTATATGCCATTAATTGGCAACGGTTTTATTTTTATGCATGACAATGCAGGCCTCATACACCTACTATCGTTGCTGACTACTTGGGATGGACTTCAATTCAATGCTTGGAGTGGCAAGAATATCAAACATGTTTGGAACGAGTTGTCAAAGAGGGTAAAAAGTGTCACCCAGCGATGCCAGAGGATATGTAGGAATTAAGAATGGCTCTGTTGGAGGAGTATGAAAATATTCCACAACACTATATTCAACTGTTGAGTGTAGGAGTTCCGTTTAGATAAATAGTGAGCTTTGAAGAGGAACCAGGGACATGGCCTGAAACGCATTTCTAGATTTAAAGGAAGAAGGTGTCAAATATAGCCGAAAGCTAAAAAACAATTTTTTTAAACCTTCATGAAGCATCCCTGATGTCCTTGCTTTATAATTCATCATTTTAGGCCGATACCAATATTCAATGAATATAATAAAATCATAGTTGGACATAGTTGGCTGGAACATGTCATTTTTTGGTGTGAAAACTTACGCAGTCTGAGATTCCTACTCCTGGGAGGAGAAAAGCCAAGGTCTGAATCACTGACTCAGGATCCCTTAATGGGATTTGATAAATAGCTTTATTGTTTGAGAATCTTGTAGGGGTGTAGGGCTTACGACTCAGTCTGGAAAAGTGCCTAAGAAAGCTCAATAGGCTCTACATCAGGGTCAATACTCATCCACAACAATCTGGCGAATTTGCCTAAATCATATACGTTGCCATACCTCTACAAGGCTAAGTTCCTTGTATCCTATTTCTAAGTTTAGAAATACATATACCGGTTTTTACAGACGGGTCCAAGACGGGATGGTGTAGCATGTGCCGTGTGGGGGGCAGTGAGTGAGTGGCCACCTTCTGGTCGTTGCCCCCTCACTCTCGAGTCAATAAGGACCGAGGAGGGCTCAGCCCCGCAGCCTTCCTCATATATACTGACTCTCTGAGCGATGTTTGGGATATAAGAGACATGGGGGGGGGGATGTGGGCCATTTCGTTGTTCTCTTGCTAGAGAAATACGCTGAGCTGCACCTCGGAAAAATGGTGTTTGTTGTCTGGAGGGTTGAGGTGGCGAAAGCCTAGTATCGTCCCCCCTCCCCCGACCGGATCATTGCGATCAGGCCCTCTGATGCTAAGCTTGCAGTGCAAACATGATAAATGATAGAGGGCGAGGTCATCTGAGAGGCACTTGCAAGTCAAAAGCATGCCCAGAAGAGGACCCTCTGAGAACCTGAGGTGGAAGTGAGGGATTGCCATATGCAGTTGACACATGGGCACCTACTTTTGGGCCAAATGCTGAGCAGGTGCTCCTTATGCCCAGAAAGGTTGCTCGATGTGTCACACTTAATAGAGGCTTGTCATGCTTTGGCTCCATATAGAGAGCATTAAGGAATGCCACCAGATTTAAGGATAATTCTCGCAGTCGCTTTCTGGGTCCTCTGTTCCATTTTTTGGAGGACGTGGGGGAGTTTTACTGTACATAGTTATATTCTATGTGTTTTATCCTTATGTATTTTGTTTGAATGTGTTATTTATTAGTTGAGTAGTGGGGTGATGGTGAAATATAGCATCACCATCACCCCTCAGAAGTGTGTGCTTTTGTTGACAGCAGAATATATATAAAGTACCTCATTGACCCTAATTTAGGTTAGATTATTAACACAGTGAATAGGTCATTGGAGGAATATCCAGAACTCCACCGACTAATCAGAATTAGTGCAATGCATGAATGTATTATATGTATGTCTTGAAACATTGGCACAATAAAGAAAATGTTTTTCTGAAACCTACATCACACCAGACCGCATCTCATGATTTCTGAATAATTATGTATGTATTGATTTATCCAATTTAAGTAGTATTAGGCTTGATTGTCGTTTGCATGTATTTGGGGCTGCAATGACCTAGCTGTCGATAGCCCACATCAGAGCCTAACTCCATTGGTAGGGGCTCGACGATCGCCTGGGCATTTGACTTAAGGGGGTACTGGCAACCTGGCCACATTACGGGGTGGGTGAACTCCCTGATAAAAAGCTTTAGCCTTAATGAATAGCTTTAGATAATAATGTAGATGTAATGCATAATAGACCAATATTGGTTACAGTGTGTAAGGTTGTAAAAGCCTGACTCTTTTTAACCTTTAAAACTTAACCTTTAAACTTTTAATTACAATATTGTCGTGTTTTTACATGTGATATGTATGCATACTTAATTAAACAACGTGTATTTATAAACAGATTACCTAGAGTTAAAAAATGAGAAAAGAGTTCAACTATGAAGAACTGATGAGGACAATCACTGGACTGTACCTGACCAATGTGCCAACTACCTCTCAACAGTAATTGTCAATTCATTGTTGAAAACTTCTACCACATGACAAATTCGGCTTTTATGTGAGTTTTCCATTTTCAGAACATGTTTTAATGAACAGATGAAGAACTTATAGAGTCTAATATTTATTAAGAATAAAAATTACATTATTTATAGTATTTGTGGAGAAAATACAAAAAATAATTAATTCACCATTTGAACAGTGTAGCTAATGATTTTTTATAATAATAATAACTTACCATACAAAAACTGAAATGAATTTGTAATAAAAAATTAAAGCATATATATATATAATATCACATAAAATATACAAATATTGAATTGTAAATTGCTAGCATTTAATATATGTTAAACATTCTAAGTTAACCTCATTGGCACATAATGAAATTATTTTTCACTAAAAGTTAAACTGTTGTCTTCTAACACTACAACACTATGCTAATGCGTAAACAAAGTATGGCTTACATGATGATTGAGGTATATTACAAAAAAATTTCTTTCAATTCAGTCGTGTTAGGAATTTAAATTTATATTGTAAACGATTATAAATTATCAAACATTTCATGAATTTATCTGGAATTCGGAAAATGTCTCCATGATTAAAGCAACAGGATCCGTTGTTTCATCCTGAACAAAAATTTTGACATATGAGACTAAAAATGCAATAAATTTTATTGCTAATATAATTTTAATTTCTTTTTACCTCACAGCCTTTAATTAATATATGTGTTGGTTTGGTCACTGATTCTTTCTCTGTGCATTGTATCACCGGGACTAAATGTTCCAACCCCATTTTTTCTGCAAGCTCACAAGCAACTTCAGGATGGCTGTCTATGAATGACAGCACATTTTGTTCATCTTCTAGGCAGTTTAGATCTTGATCTATTAAATATTGTTAGAATTATTTTGTGCAATGTGTATTGACATTGATTTTTGAAAAAGAAATAATCATACTTTTGTTTAGTGAACGTTCATTTCCAACAGTGTAAGTTTGAAGGTATTGTTCAATCTGGAAAACAATTAGACTTAAATGAAAAAATACTATTAGATTGGATTGCATTGCCTTACATCCTTGTTTGCTGCCAAATCAAAAATGTTTGGGCCTTTCAGAATCTTATTATGAGTATCGTCTCCATCATTGTTATTTTCTGTATTATGTTCAGATATCTGAATCTATTAAATTGACAAAAGAATTGCTTTTATTAAACAATTTATTTAAGATGATTATTTCTGTGAAATCGTTGAAACTTACACCAGTTGCAAAAAGCCTTCTTAAAATATTAACAAATCCAGCACTTGCAGCATAGTGGAATGGCGTATACCCTGCACTGTTTTGATAATTTGGCTCTGCTTCATTCTAAAATATGAAACTAACATGAATGAAACACTATTTCTTTCTTAACTTTTGTATCTTCACCTTTAGTAATAAGTCCACAATATTTTCATGTCCATGTTTTGCAGCGATGTGAAGTGCAGCATCGCCAGTTCGTAAATTTTGGAAATTCGGGTCCCACTTGTTTGTAACCAACAGCTGTACAGATTGTATGTTATTCAATCTAGCACCAAGTAATAATAAATTATCACCCTCTGAAACAATTAAATAATTAAATTCCATTTTGATTTTTGTGATCGCAAAATACTGCACCTCTGTTACACTTTTCTTGGAAACCTGGTGAAACGTGTTTCAGTAATGTAGTCACACTCTCGGGAAAATGGATTATAGCAAGATGCAATGCTGTGTTATAGTCTGCATCATATGCTTCACAATTACAACCAGCTTTTAAAAGCATTTGAACTAATTTTATGTTTCTCATAATCACTGCCATTTGAAGAGGTGTCTAAAAGATAAAATTGAATTAAATTTTTTTATGTATTTGTAAATCAAGAAAATAAATTAGATTATTATTTTGATTATATATGATGAGGGGAGGAATAAGGAAATTTACAAATCTAGCCTGAATTGTGTTTACATGAAAATTTACAATTTAAACAACAATAATGCGACTGGAATTACAAATTTTCTGATTATTCTCCTCATCATACACTCCAAAAGAGTGTGCACAGTAGTATATAANCTCTTAAGATGGCTCCAAAATAGTCGAAACGCCAGTAAATACAATGTTATTATTTTTTAAAAATTAAATTTGTTTTAGCAGGATCCTTTTTTAGTCATTGATTTTGCAGTACTGCAGAATAAGGGTTAAGAACAGATTAAGTAAGGTTAGACTAAGTAGGGTTGGTTTAGGGTGATGGATGATTTAGTTTGGTAAGTTATTGGGATGTGTTAGGGTTAGTTCCCTTTTCAAGGTTTTCAAGGCTAACAGAAAAACAAGTCAATAAACTCAATTATATAAAAGCAATCTGTAAGTTACACAAGCAAAAATTATTTTTATTCTAAGTAATAAACTCTTAGTAATTCTTAAATCACAAATTACAATGCTGAACTGTACCTTGGGGACCGCGGTAGCCGAGTGGTTAGCGTAAGAGACTCTCGGCACGTAGACGATGCGGTCGTGGGTTCGATTCCCACCGTCGCCTCTGGCCCTTTTTTCACGATAACCCCCCCCCCCCCAATATGAACACACATACAAGAACTCGTCAACATGGTTAATATGCATAGATCATAAGGCAAAAAGAAAAAAAAAATGGTCCCGAAATACATACTGGAGATAAACTATAAAGTAAAACAAAGAGGTTTAAAGTTCTATAAATACCCTTTTCACACGAATTTAACAACAACCAAAATAAAAGGGGAAGTTCATGTTAGGATTAGGGTTAGGTTAGGTGAGGATTTAGGTTAGAGTTATATTAGGGTTAGATTTAGAGCTAGGGCTGCAAGTTACATCCCTGATTCTATGTTTTTCTATGAAATTATGAAACTATCTGAGCATGAAGGATGTGTTTTAAACAGTGAAAATGATATAGATTTTTATTAATAGTCTAATAATAAAATAATAATGATTTTTTATGATTTGCTGTTTAATTCAAAATATCTATACCTTGTTCAAACTGTTTTTTGATTCGAGGGACACTCTCTCAGCAATACACTTTGATAAAATTTGCATAAACAATAATTTATTGTTTTCTTCTATTGACTGGTGAAGCAATCTGAAATTAACAGTATATCAATGAGCATTTTTTTTAGAGAGCCATGTTCGTTATTTGTATACTTTTTGAGTTTATGATGCACTTCTTCCTCACTTGAAGATTTGTTGCTGTTTGAACTTACTAAAATCAAATCAGTTTATAAAATAAAACGAGTACAAACACACACACACACNACACACGCACGCACGCACACACACGCACACACAAGTTATATTTACCTTGAGAATTTGATACAAAGGAATCTGCAGCAATTTCGCTTGTATTTAAAAAAACTGGAAATATCATTTAAAGATTTAAAGGAGTATTATTTAAATTGAGTGATATATCAATTAAAAAAATAAATAATATATATACGTACATTCGTTGATTTCTGGAAGTTCTGAAATTTAATGTCTGTTAGTTACTGGTTGTTAAACATACTAAAAATACATGTTGAACCACCAAGTACCTTACATATTTTATACTATATGCACTTACAAATAAGTATTGTGAAGCAGTACTTCATGGTTCTGAAATAATTGTAGCTATAATAAATTTTACCTTTTTCATTGAAGTGAGAAAATATATATTGGTCAAGATCTTTCAAGTCTGAAAAAATTAAACATATTTAGAATAAGTTATTAAAAAACTCATTGTTATTAATTTGATATTAAAATTAAGATTACACATGCCTAGGGAGATGCAAGATTGGTTAGTCTGTTGAGGTGGTGAAAAAAGTCGCCTGTCATTAAAATCAAACATCTGAAATTCAAGCAAAAATGCTGTTAGATTAAGAAACAAAATAAAAAGAGTATAAAATATATCCACTTACTTGTTCTTCAACTGACATTGGTATTAAGTTTGTTGCAGCTTCTAAAGAACATATCTTCCTCTTCTTACTAACTGAGTCTGCTTTTTAAAATTCATTAAATTCAGTACAATAAATTAGTAGTCATTTGTCATCGAAGGACATACCTGAGTAAAGCCTATTTTCAGAAGGCGTGTAATAGTACGTGACTCTTGGGCTAACTGCACCATCGCTTTCTCGTTCAAGTTGAAAATAAACTTTAACTTCTTCAGTGATATCTGTATTCTTGTACCTTGGTGTTCTAATGAAGAAATGTTTACAAAAATTAAATTTTAAACAAATTCAAATATTTACAATGAGGATTATACAATATATAAAAAGAAAACAATAAAAAGTTTTATTTTCAAAATACATATATATTATATATTTTACCTTATAGCAATGGCAACTTGATGGTGGATATCCAAAGGATCAAATTGTGCATATGCACTCCATATTTCTTCATTTGTTTCCTCATCCTCTTCAAAAAATCTTATTTTGATAGCTAAAAATTATTCAATTAATTTAATTATTTTAATATTAATGTTTGGATTTGTTACCTTTCACTACTTTTTCTACAAAAAGGAAGACTTCTTGTCCACCTTCACAACTGCCTTTCACTGAACAGGCTCGACAAATTCTTAAGTTGTTTGTTTTTGGATTTTCTGAAATCATATTTAAATTATTTTATTATATTTTTTGTAAATGTTATATGTATTTAATAATAAAAATGTATACTTTTGTTCTTTATTGGGTCAGATATTGTTTCGGCAATTTGTCTATACTGCCCCATTTCTTTCACAAAAACTTGAAAATATAGTGATGTCATGTTCTTTTCCAACGACTTAATTTCTTTCACTGTGGTTTCATAATTGAAATTCTATATAAAAAAGATCAATAAAATTACAAAAAAAAAATAAAAAAATAAAAATAAAAAAGGCATTTATTCGTCATTTTATTCTTACCAATTGAGCTGGCGCTTTGAACCCCGAACAAATGTGCATTTTTTTCTGTTCATAATACTTACAATAACTCTTGTTTTTGGAAACGACATGAATAATGTTCAGTTTATCAAAGCTGTAATAAAGTTTGATAATATTGAACTGCTTCACAGCAATCTTCACAAATTTTTTCTAGTTGTTTACCTTGCTGTGTAATTGTTCGCAGAGTTGACAACAATATCATGAGGCTCATATGTAATTTTTCCATTTTCAGTTTGCCCCACGAGCTGATGTGGACTGGCGCACTTTGTGTTTACATTTGTGAGCCAACATCTTATAATCGCCTCACCATTGAAATTGTGAAGCTAGAATCATAATAACCTTCACTAAAACAATGTTTGCTTTATTAATAATTAAGTAAGAACAAAATATTGTTATCTAACCCGAACTTTAGGCCCGGTTTTCAATTGTCTTGAAGAATTTTCAGATGCTGCACCTCTGAGAGGACCATGTGGTTTTGTCGATTCTTTGATGTAACGGAATCTGAACAATTTTTGAGGCTGGTCCACGATTTGTAACCTTGGTTGATCTTTAAAAATCAAATTAAAAATTGGTAAACAATAAATCTAAGCTGATATATTATGATAAGCAATGCACATTCCAGATATTGACACTCGGAGGTCAGACCCCGGCTTTTATTCGTTCAGCAGCCAAGGTTGGGCTCTAAGAGGTTATCATCATCTAGGTCATTTCAGGCAAAACATGATCAGATTCCCTTCACAGTCTCACTCACTCACTCTTAAGTACATTAATTCCTAGTTACATGCCATTCACTTAGGGTGGTGGAGTACCTGAACTTCCTCTATCGCCCTCCATACATATATAACTAACCTAATTAAGGGTCAATGGGGAACTCAACATTCTATCCATGACCCTCTCACTCTGTATTATTATACAAGAATGTGTTTAGAGTGGATGTATTTACTTATGTATCAAAAATAAATTGCATATCGCTGGTCGTGTTAGGTAGTGTATTTAGTAGATTTATCAGAAAAGTTTGCCGTACCGTAGAAAGACCTTATGGTTATATGGGTGTACTTACTAAGTATTATAGTATATGTAAGTACTAAGTACAAAGTTCGATTTGTTAATATTAATTAAGAATAATTAAATTGGTTGTGGAAATTAAGATGGCTATGCACCAGCTGGGTTTTCCGCATATTTGATCTGTGTTTGCTGATGTTCCATAGCATAAGGTTGGTGAGATTATTGTCTTGAAATTATTGTATTTTTTTGGTGTATCAAAGTTTTGTCAATATGTTTGTAGGGTTGTATTGTATTGTTGTAAAAATATAGTTATTTTAGTTGTAAAATATAATCACTGTTTTTACAAAAAATATTAATTTTATATTGCGTTTTTTTTGTGAGCAGAGATCACTCAGCTTTGACCCATTTCTCCTCAAATGAGTTCTATAACTTTTTGCTTCTTATAGATTAATATTTTTAAATTACTTTGGTAAAATGAAACGATTTTATCTCAAATTTTATCTTCCAAATCTCCTCATAATTTTCTTTGAAAACTTACTCATAGTTGACAGTTCAAACTTACTAGAATTTAGCATAATTTAGAATATAGCATAATTTTCTTCGTTTAATATGGAAATAAAACAGTGATTTCCATTTCCAAAAATAACCATGAAAAGGAATATAAAGAATATCTAGTAAGATTAAAACATAATTTCAAAGCATACCAAGTTATTCTGAGAATTGGTAATTTATAAATTTAAATCAATATTAAAATAGCATATTTTTCTTGGATTTTATGTACTTTTTATGCATTCTTTTCCTTTAGATTGGTATTTGTGAAGCGATTTCTCAAAGTTGTTTATAGCTATTTTTCTTCGAACAATTACTCACCATACAACGAAAAGTGAATTTCAATTGAAATCTGAATTTAGTCGTTTTAAATAAAAAAAAAGGCCGAACTTCATTCGGCGCCGGTAAGTGGATATCTTTGGTCAAACAATTAGTCTCGATTTAGAAAAATGATAAAAACAAAAAACCCTGGAATTAAGCTTATTTTATTGGAATAATTTTGAAGAGGAAAAAAGGCCGAACTTCTCACGAATCCATTACGTTTTGTAAATATTCGTACAAATTTGGCAAAACATACATCTCTCTGGAGGATAATCCAAATTTACATTATTGATGTGTTTGCCCAGTTAAATTCTGTGCAAACAGAACTTGCTAAATCCATTTGAACAGAATTAAATTAACACCTCGTCTACAGTTCCGATTTCGGCAAATATTCGTGGTATTTACCATATTTGTTTAAACTGTCCAGTTAATAAATCAGCAAGCATTACTTATTTGCCCATCTTGTCCCGATCTTTAAATCCAAACATTTTATATTTTCCACAGAGTCTCTTGCATTTTCTAGCCACTACAGAGAATTTCTTATAATGTGAAATCTTGAATCTACCTAGATGGATGGAGTGTTTTAACACATCCATCAACAATTCCCTTAGCAGTTTTCACTTAGATAGTGGAAGTTAGATTCTCAAGTTTAGCCTCTAAGTGGGAAAGTTTAGTAGGGTAACTGGAAAGTTACTGAAGCACAAAGTTTAATATAAATAAAATTCGAGAAGAAATACATATTCTTTATTTTGGAATTCCGACCGATTCGAACATCATGATATAAAAGAACTTTTATCATTTCTAACTATTAATGTTTATTATATCGAACTAATTATAATTAAAATGTTCTGAAAACATTACGAATGTCATAAATGAAATGGAAATCTAGAATTTTTGTGGCAAGAATTGCCAACCTCTAAACAGGAAATTTCGGGATTTTGCTGACTGCGGAATGATGTACCTGAAATTTGGTCGTTACCGATCACCTATTCTCGCTGGGTGACGCCATCTTCAGTGTGTCTGTCAGAACGTCACAGACACACTGAAGATTTCCACTACTACTATATGTCTTTATTCTTTAATATATTAATGAAGATTAAATCCTCAGTCTTGAACAACTTGGAAAAAAGGATCTTCGATGAGATCTCAACAGAACGACAATTTTTTAAGTAATTAAGATTTTTAGTCGAAATAAAAAATTCACTGTCACGAGCGGGATTCGATCCCACGACTTTCGGCTTGATACACCGCTACTCTACGACTTGAGCTATCGTGGGTTCGAATCCCGCGCGTGACACTGACTTTTTATCTCAACTAAAAACCTTAATTAATTGAATGATATGAATTGATCAAGCGGACCACGAAAAATAGTGAATTTGTTAAGTTTTTGCCGAGTTTTCGACGATTATATCGTCATCATCAAGGCCTATTTACTTTAGGAAAATATTGCAGTTAGAACATGTTATATCATTTAAAAAAACAAAATTACAAAAACAATTATTTTTCTAACTTTAACTCGATGAGTGTTGAAATATATCTTGAGAACAAGAAACTGCATTTATAATAAGATTAATCAAAATTAGGTGAAGTTAAACATTAACAGTATGGCATTAATTAAAAACAACAATATAAAAATTAAAAAAAAAAACCATCACGTGGTCGTATAGGTTACCACGGTTATAATATAAATATAAGTTCGTCTCTTTTTTTATACATAAAATAACTTTTTTCTCAGGTATATTAGAATATCACAGTTAAGATTAATTAAGCTTTTTTAAAATTGTACTATATATAGATAATTTAAATTAAAGTGTTAACTTCTACCACAAGGGAGAGACATGAGGCTCAGGTGGCTTTTCCGTTACAATAATCTCATCCTTAAATCCTCAGTCTGTTGTGGATGTCCGTAAATTTTCTCTCGTACTCAATGCTTTTGGGAAAAAACAAAACAAACACGAATAAGATTTTCTTCACATTTCTCACGAAAATCCTAACAAAAACAATACATTTTTCCAAACGCTTCTTCAATAAAATTGCTATATTTTGTTGATAATTGATTTAAAGATTGATTTCTGCTTTGATTGTCATAATTTAAAAATAAAACTGTTTTACTTATGTTTGGTACTTTATAACTTGTATTGCGTACGTTCACAATTATTGTATTTACTAACATACTAAGCATTGGACTTGCATAGATTCGTCATTTATTTTTTAAAATATTTATATCCATTTTTACATCAGTAATTCGAAAAAAATTGTGTAATAGTACAATAAGCAAGTACTAAAGCTAAGAGAAACAAAAGATATCAAATTTGATAAAACTGCAGAAAGTACAAAAATAGAACGTTTTCTGATAAATGTCAATATTTTCTTTGATTTGGAAAATGAAAAAATCCAAAACTGATAAAGGAATTTTGACAATAAGAATACAAACAAGACCATTTTTCAGCATCATTTTCATACACCTCAACGACAAAATCCGGTCACTTGCGTTTATTTATTTTCCATAATAACTAGGTATAAAGATTAATAAAATATAAGGAGTTAAAACGTAACACAGTATTAATAACTTGCTGTTATAGAGTTTTACTAATCCTTTTACCCTTTAAAGTAAAAAAAATTCTTTCCAGCGACAACTTGTCGAGTGGATTAATTGAGTTTTTAAATTTTTTTCTTCGAATAAACAATAAATTTGAGTAAACAATTTTTTTTCTTAAGAACAGGTTTTTAAGTGGAGAAGATATCGTCCGGACAGATACCGTGGCCAATGACCAAAAATCCGAATTGCTTTATAATTGACCTTTGCTTTCGTAAAATTGCCTAAAAGGACGCCTCCCAAAACGCAGAGAAGAGAAGGAAGTCCTGTGTAATTAGTTTATAATTAAATTAGTTAATTTAGTAGTGGTAGCCATCCCCCAAGAATCGTTTATATTTAGTTATGCTTTAATTTGTAAATTTGAATAAATATATGTAAATTTGCTGCACTAAAATTATTGATATCCACTCGTTCAAAATTAACTAAAGTTCTAAATTTAATATTTATATTATTTCAATCGTGAAAAGAAATGTTCCAAAGTTACTTTAAAAAAAAGTATATTTTTATTGACCGCAGTGCAAAAGTGTATTATATTTTGTTTTGTCATAAAATTCCTTGTGGCCGTCATGAAGTGACAACAAAGACCAAGATTTTTATTAAGGTAAGATATTTTGTATATGTAATTAAGCAGTAATAACACGCAGATAGACAAGGCGTTCTATTCTTTAGGAAAAAAGAAAGGAAATAAAAAAGAAAAGTGAATAAAAAAACTGGGCGCCTGCGAATTTGAACATTCATCTACACAATAAATTCAAAATAAACAACTACAAAACAAAATAATTTAAGTAAAAGAAGAGAAAAAAAAGTAAATACAAAAAGTTTTATCCGAAGATAGAATTCAATTATACTAAGCATTGTTTTTTTTGTATTCTTAATATTTCTAAAAATAATAAATGTAACAAAACTTTTAAAGTTGATTAACAAAACTAGTGTTATTCCAGAGATAAGTTTTAAATGGGGCTTCACTTTTACTGACCTTGATTTTTTTATAGGATCTGATTGCTTCAATAAAATAAATAGAGCACATAATTTGTACGGAATATCTAGAAAATCACGTTTTTTGGATAGAAGATGTT